CAGAAAAATGGTCAGAAGAAAAAATATGTAATTTGCAACATGCAGCTGCATAATTTTTTTAAAAAACAATTATGTGTTTTTTTTATATCAATTGATTCGTCTCATTATTTTGTGCACAAAAGTATTAAGGTAAGATTCCCGAAAACTGAGCTTTTACAAGATATTTTGTATTTTATGTCAAAATACTGTAACTTTCAAGCTCTATAACTCGTAAAATACTTAATAAAAATAATTTTATTATAGTGTTTTAAAAAGCTCTTGACACCAGTTATTAGATTCTGGAATAAAAAATAGAGTGTTCCATTTAAAAAAACAAAATTGACCACCATATAACTTTGGCACGTATACCTTAGGTTAAAGTTTAACCTATTGATTTTGTAACTTTTTGTGATTTTGTAACTTTTTTCCTTTTTCGATATTTATTTTAAGTAAATTATTAGATAATGTTTTTGGTTAAAAAAATTATTTTATCTTTATTAAAAATATTCGCATATGTTAAATTAGCACTTTGTTGCAACATTGTAAAATAACTTCATTTTTCTATTAACAATAGCAGATCTGTATTATTTCTAAAATTGTTGGTTTAATATATGCGAATATTAATAATAAATAGAAAATATTATTTTTTTGGGCAAAAAAATATTATCTAATAATTTACTATGTAAGAAACAAATGTGGAAAAAAGAAAAAAAAGTTGCACGAAGCAGGTTTCGAACAGGTGATCTCTAATATTCCAGCCACTCGCCTCAGAATTTCTTTTCTGAATCAGAAACGCTTGCTTTTAACATGCAAGTAGCATGCATTTATCGTCTGTTGTGTCGGCTCGGTGGAAGGGAGCGTTCGCTCTCTTCCATTGGTTGAACGGCCGAGCTCACACGGATACGTGACGTAGCGCTTCTGTAAGGTTGTGTGAGGCAGCGGAGCCGGGACCGCTGTGGGAAATATCGCATCACTGGGTTAAACCAATGTTACTATCGGATGTCCCCCTCCAAACCCAATAACTTTTGTAGAGAATATTTTTTTATCTGATTATTTCCTGCGAAGTTACAGGGGTGGTCAGTTAAAATGGGACACCCTGTATAATAATATGTTTTGCTACGACAGTACAATAAACGTTGCATCAGCAAATCTCTTTTTCTCGTATGAACTTTGCACTTATTGGATAAGAATAATAATTAAAAAAAAATAAAAGACTAATACCTGAATAAAATTGAATTCATTCAAGCATTTATGCGCAAGCGGTCTTAGCGAGAACATTAATACTTGATTTGTCTGTTAAATTAGAAAACTTCTGATAATCAACATTCTTATATTCAAGTGCTACGAATTCTTTTGAACGTTTCTATATTGATATATTAGATATATTACTCTACATTTATTGTAATAAACCTTCATTTGCCGAACATTAAGTGTGTGTTATTCACTGCCAATAAAACGACTAACAGTACTCAAGTTTACTACTTTAATTCAAACCTTGCGTTTTTCGCTCTTTTTGTGAGTACATTATGTTAATCGTTTTATGCTGATGAGTTTCGAAATATAACCAAATTTTTTATATATTAATAATGCAGTGGTGTTGGTTTATTTGTACTGACTTTAACCAATCACTTTTAAGAGCACATCAGCGGTATCGAGAGTTGAACATAATATAGAAAATGTGGCCTTTTTAATATCATGTGCGATAGTACGGCGCGTCTTGATGGCAAAACTGTGGTTATAACAGGGGCAAATTCCGGAATCGGCAAGGAAACTGCCAGAGATTTATATCGAAGAGGTAAGTGAGAATGAACGAACACTTTTGCTGAAATATCTATAAATTGAGCCAGATACAGATCTGAATATAAATTCTGTTGATCATTCAAAATTCATCAATAGAGAATATCCCTCGATCTTGGTTGATGAATTATCAAAACTTTTTGTTGCAATATGAAAAAGGTCGAATGTTTTATTGATAAGTTTTGATTATTTTGATATATATACACAGGGCTAGGCAAAATACATCATTAAGTATTTGAAATACATATACAAAATACTGTCAATCTTAGTCAGTGCTGGGCCAAATACATCATTAAGTATTTAAAATTTAAAATATAAAATACTATCATTCTTCTATCAAATACAAAATATAAAAATCTATCAATCTTCTATCAAAATACTAAGATTGACAGTATTTTGCATTTTGTATTTCAAATATTTTTTGTCCAGTCCTGTATATACATATATATTAACTAAGCACTTTCCGCACTTTTTTTACCATGATTTTTTAAGTTGAAAATGCAAAAAGTATATTTAAATATGAATAACATTTTTGCATTTAGGAGCCAGGGTTATTTTGGCTTGTCGTAATATGAAAAAGGCAAATGCTACAGTGGACGACATAAAGAGGAATCCATTTTCAAAGTAAATATAAAAATCATATCCATGTAATTACATATTAATAATTAAATTATCAATTTAAATTGATTCAATGAATAAGATGTAAATTTTAGTTATTATTGATTCTAAATAAAGCATTATGATGTATTTTTAAAATAAATTTGCATCAATGTATATTTAGAAATATTAAGCAAAATTACATTAGTAACTCTAATAAATCGTAAGATAATCGCAAATTGTAATTAAAATATTATTAGTAATAAACAATAATACACAATAATAAAATATTTTTGATTTATTAGTTATTTTACAGAAATGTAAAAAATTTTACACGTTTTATTTGTTTGATAAAATAATACTGGTAATTTTATATTACTTTCAAGAGTGGATGGGCAACAGCTGAAAGATAAGACAGGTGATCTCGCAATTTACCAACTGGATCTCAGCAGTTTCCAAAGTGTAAGAGAATGCGCTAAGAGTTTACTAACAAAGGAACCAGTGATTCATATTCTCATAAACAATGCCGGCATTTTTATGTATCCATTCGAGAAAACCGAGGACGGAAACGAGATGCACCTGCAGTCGAATCATCTCGGACATTTTCTTTTAACGCTGCTACTACTACCGAAATTGCGATTATCTGGTTTTGGCTGCAGGATAATTAACGTATCGTCTATAGCGCATTGGTGTAAGTTTGAATACATATTACAACGCGGACCAACAGAAAAGACATAGAATATATATGCAAATACAAATACATTGAATAGAGCAAATGCTTTGAAATTGAAACAAGTTTTTTAACTAATTATGTAAAATAATTAATAAAATTTGAATAATTAGTTTCTATTGTAAATCTTATATAATTTTATGTGGTAACTTTCAGCTGACTAACCTTTATTTGTAAAGAAAAGTATTAAATTTTAGGCTGGTATAGTAATTTCATGAAATCAACATTTTTCATACTTGCTGCCATTAAAAACACAAATTATCCTTTTCTTTAACAGTTGGCAATATAAATTTTGATGATATTAATTTGGAAAAGTTTTATGGACCATGGAAAGCTTATGCACAGAGTAAACTGGCAAATATTCTATTTACTAAAGAACTCGCGCATCAATTAGCAAGTAAGTCAAAAAAGAAGATTGGATAAATTATCGATAAACAATTGATTAAAGATTAAAATTATTTAATCATTTATTATATTATTTACTATCAATATATGATACGTTGTAAAATAGTGTAAAAGATTGCGATACTTTATAAAATTTAATAAATATAAATCGCAATGATATGTTTGCATACAATTACTATTAAAATATTAAAATAACTATAAATAAATATATAGAATTACTATAAAAAAACCTGAAGGCTATTTAAAAATTTATACTAATTAATATTCGATTTCCAGAGGCAGAGATAGAAGGAATAAATGTTTACGCCTTACATCCTGGTCTTATACCTACGGAAATATCACGTTATAGCGGCGACACCTTTTTTTATGGTGCGGACAAACTTTTCAATTGTTTTACATGGATGTTTTTTAAGAATGTGATGCAAGGAGCACAAACAACGATATATTGTGCGGTAGATGAAAAAGTGGGCGAAGAGACTGGGCTTTATTATTCGTAAGCGTTATATGATATATATATATATAAATATATTTTTTATATATTAATTTTATGTTATATTTAAAAATTACGTATGTAATACTTGTAATTTTTCTTTGTTTTTATTAGTGATTGCAGTCCTGCCATGACATATAGCAGAGCAATGAATGCCGATTATAGCAAAAAGTTGTGGGATATATCTTGTCGACTGTTGCATTTGGAGCCCGAGGAAAATCTTGTTGCATTATTGAATACTATTTCACGTCAAATTGCTGATTAATCCGAGGTAAATTTATTATCAGTCTTTACTACATTCTATCAATTTCATATAAAATTGAAACATAATATTGGGTTGTATCATAAGTCCATAGCGCTTTTTTACCGAAGACAATGCTGTCGGTCTG